AAGAGAACAAATGCTCTGCATAAAGTGTAAATGTGGTGCTGGTGGCAATCACTGCATTTTCAGACCCAGGGAGCAAGAAGGATACTGACGTGCCTCCAAGGACTGCATTCAGGCTTCTGGTCTCTGCTGATATAAGGAGCAGAGTCAGGCACCCAAAGGGGAAATCAGGAACCCGCCGCCTAGGGCAGGATGCTGCCCAGAGCCAACCGGGCAGGAAATGTTTCAGAGCTTCCCTCCCTCCCTGCCTGCAGCTTAGGGGGTAGTGCCTGAGCATTTCTCTTCCTCCTCCTCCATTTACCTCCTCCTTCATCTGCCAGGGTCGGGCACCCGACGGAGCAGAGGCCTCTCTTCCAGAAGCACTATTGCCGAGCGTGGCACGTGCATAGCATGGTAGCTGTGAAGTGAGAGCCCCCTCCTAAAAAGTGGGAGGTCTCAGTTAAATATTATCCTCAGCCTAGAAGTACTGAAACTCACCCTTTTCACCACCTTAGTTTGCTCTACCCAGAAAAATATAGGCTAGCGGGAAGCTGGAAGCATCCAGGCAGCGATGGAAGATTTGTGGGGCCAAAGGAGACTGGAGGAGAGGAAGGAGGAACCTCTTCAACCTACTGATCTGGGCACTCAGCAGGTCTAGAGAGATTTGATTACCTGCTCTGCTCCCAGTTATCTTTATTTTTACCCAGTGATTGTCTAATGTAAAATTCAGAGCAGGGAGCAGGGAACTTCACCCAAGCTATAATCCTCCACAGCAATCAAATAGTAACTGCACTCATGATTGTAGCCTTATCCCTTTGGTACCTGAGAGACATTGATACGGCATGGTGTGGTGTGGCGTGCTGTGACATGGCAGGGCATGTCTGTACTGTAGACTAAGGGCACTTCCTAGCTTCTGCATCCCAAGGGCACACCTCAGATGCATCCCACCTTCAAGGATAGGTCTCCACCTCTGACACCAAAAGAGGTGATCTGAATTCAAATGCCAATCAAGTTAAGCCTTCCAAAAAAGCCCACATTTTTCTGGGTGCTTCAGAAATGAAGAAACTTAGAATTGCAACTCTGGCCCCTTTGCAGTGGAAGAACTGGGGACATACTCAGTCTCACACGCAAATAGTCCTATGTGAAAAGGAATGGTTTTAGGGCTGGATGTGATGTATGCAGGAGGTGCCAGAATGCAGGTGAATGGCAAGGATGCCTGCTGCCATGTGAGGCTCATATGTGAGGGTGGACTCTTTGCATGTTTTAAGCAGCTGAACATCTGAAGATGTTTCTATAGAACATGCAGGTACTAGCACTTTTTGAAGACTTACAATTTGTCCAAATAGGGGCGGACTTTCCTTAAAACAACATTCATTGAAATTCGTTGAAACAAGAAAAGTCAAATTCATTGAAATCAGAAAAAAAATATTTTTTAAAGCACTTATTTTCCCTCACCCACCCACACTTCAGATCTAGGCTTCAGAGCACAGAAAATCCTACTAGAGCGTCCCAGAGAGAAAGTTATCAAAATGGTGTACTTTGTGTACCAAACCTGTGTACTTTGATCTTGCTGTTACACAGAAGTATTGCGCATTCAACATGGTCTGGTGAGAACAACATGGCTCTCTAGCTAAGTGTTTGTCTTGGAAAGCAAAGATCTGCATTTCAGCACCTTCACGAGGAACCATTTATGTATTTCACGTGGCACTCGTTAAAATGTATACACACTCAAGGAACAGAGTCCTGGACACAGATCTCCTCTTGTCCAAGCAAATAACTGTGAAGCTGAGATGTGTCATATGGCTGGCTGTTCCCTGGCTCAATCAGCTTTTGTCTTGCACCAATGAAGGCATCTTCAATGGGTGAATATGTGCCCCCCTTACTCCTGAGATAGATAATAACCTGGTGCTGAGGGTAGTCTCTGAGAAGATGGGATTTCACAACCCCGCAGACAGAAGAGTGATTGAACCTTGATCTAGCATTGCTGGTTGTGTGCTGTAACTGTTGAGCTATGTTTAACAGGTAACTAAACACCATGTCCTCTCTCAGTGGCGTTTTCAAAGAAAAATGATAACTGCTACATTCCGCACTGATCTGGTTCTGGGAGCCGGATGAGCTCTTCAAGGAAGACTGGGAAGAAACTCCTAACCAGTGGTCTCCGCTTGCGCCTGGGCATGAGCCAAGATACAGAGGAAAACTGAGTTGCCGAACAAGCTGAAGTGACTCCAAGGGACAAGTGTCAGCTGTGTGGTGTTTTGAGGATCCCATTTTGGGTTCAGTGCTTACATTTAGGTAGTTCCCTAGGCACTTCAGACATGCACAAGGGAAGAGAAATTCTGGGCGCTCTGATCAAAATCGGATGAAAGGCTAATGTAGAAAATTGTTACATAGGCCTTGTAATGGGTGGAGAAACCTCATGCTGGCAAAAAGGGATTAAGGGGCTATCCTGATGCTGGAAGTGAAATGAAATTGAAGCAACAGAAGATATTTTTCTTCTTAGGCAGAGACCAATCAGAGCTCTCAGAGGTGAGCTAGGCTTAGGCCAAGCAGTCTTTTGTCTAACCCTCTAGGACTAGCTTCCAAGCCTTCCTTGCCCAAGGCAGTGGGACTTTTGTGTCTGTTTTGCTTGTGTGTTTTGCGTACAGGTGGCTCTCTTTACTGTAACCCCCATAGGCAGAACGTTACTTTGCACTGGGGCTGTGGCTAGCAGGTCATCTAATGTTGGGAAATCCCTGTGCTCAGCAAGGGTCAGAGCTGGGATGAAGAACGCAGGGCAAAAGTGCAGCTTTAAACAGGGATCGATCATTCCCTGGCTCCTGTCACGAGCCGGGCTCTGGGTAAGCCAAGGGGCCCCCAAACTGGCCACAGAGGGCCGCTGCATTCTTTCCATGGGCTTTCAAAAACTGTGGTGCTAAAATACCAGTCAAGGTGATCCAGCCATTGAGGGTAGTTTTTCTGCTCTCCTTGGGCTTTATTGCACTGAAAGATAGCACATCCCACCTGGGCTTTGCCTGCTTCCAGCCGACTCCACTTGCCGAGCCAGCTAATGGCTCTGGCCAGGCTGGTTCCCTAGGCCAGGGCAGCACTGACCTTCTCCATTTGCTGACATGATTTGACGTGTCTTTTTGTAATGTGTTTTGAGGAGGCGTACCAGAACCATGATCTGCATATAAAATAGACCTGTACGTGCAGAACAGCATGAAGAGTGCCATCTACCGATAATTAAACATATAGCACCGCACAGAGATAGGCAGGTTCAACAATGAAGTCACACATTGCGTACGGCATCAACAGTACCGCTTTTCACAGCTGCCAGTTCCTGTGACATTATGGAATCGTGGCAGCATTGTGATAGTAGGCTGCCAAATCTTGTTTCTACTGCAAGGTCACTTCTTGGAGCTTCATCAAACAACATTTCTTCAGGGAGGCGCTGTTTTGAAGCTATGCTGATCTTTGCTGCAGTCTTCTGGAAAAAAAATGCTGGGCAGGATTAGGCTTTGTAGAATATAAATGACCATTAATACATTTTTAGTATTAATGTAAGTGCCTGTATCAACTGCAAGCTGAATCACTTAATCAGACTAGTAGCAATTAAAATGGTAATTTTTCCATCCTAGATTCTGCTTGCAATTTTTGCTCAAGTAAAACTCTTTGAAGTTAATTGGAATTTTGATTAAAGGCTCCTGGATCTGGGTCTCTGAATTTGTACTAAGGAAAGTTCAATATTTGCTTTGGTTTTTTGCACATCGAGTTCACTGCTATATATTAGTGCAAATGTACAATTAGTCGTAACAAGAATATCTCCCATAAAGATTTCTATAATCTAGTTCTTGAAATACTTTTAAAAAGGTCTTTTATCACAGAATGGCTTTTAAAGTACTGCTGAAACAGGCTTGAAGATCTGAAAAACTCGATTGCTTGTTTGTCTTAATTATTTCTAGTCCCTGTAAGTGGCTTTGTAACTTTCACTTGCTAGTAATTCAAAGGTTTGGACAGGGTGGAAGGAGAGAGATGCTCTTGCTCTTTGCTATTAAGAGTTCAGCTTCTGGTTGTCAGATTAGAAAAACTACTCAAATTACATTAAAACCATCATTAGAATGAAGAGTAACTGTGGTGTAACAGCTCTAAAGAGTAACATTTTTGTCTAAATAAGACCTCTGTGAGATACAGAAATGACCAGACTATTGTTAGATACTGAATAGCATTTTTTGAAAAATAAAATAAGCCACAAACAGCATGTTCTAGTACCTAAGGGCACTTGAAAAAGCAGAGGAGCAGTCTCTTTGTAATAGCCCTTAATTATAGAGATATATTTCACTGAAGTCAGTATAACTTAACTGCATGTGAGAATAACAGCTACTTGAATGAATGAATGAGGACTGCAGGATCAGCTTCTACACTGTCGGAAACATCCCCCAGCAAACAAGCGATACACATTTTTGTCATGTCTTGGAATTTGCCTGCAACTTCGCTGCATGCTGATGTCATCTTGTGGCCAGAATTCATCAGACGTCTTTCAGGCAAAAGAAGTGTCATTTTTCAAAAGCTGTGACACAACTGATTCAAATAACTGCTTAAACTTAATTTGGGTCAACTGTTGAGGTGAGAAAAGGAAGGGGAAAAGCAGGAAGAAAGAAAGAAATAACCATGCAGAAATTACACTGATGGTATCAAGCATGTGAATTCTTATTGTATACCTTTATTTATAAGAAAAGAATTATAGCTTGTGATCAAAATGCCATTTTTTTCGTTTTGAGAACCATTTTTAGTAATCGTTAATAAATTTTTAGTAATCATTAATAAAGCATTGCTTTAATTTTGAAAAAAAAATCCTTTGACTTTAAAAGGACATGTATTAAATATCAGGTTGTAAATCTCCTATACTAAAAAGTGCAGCAGGTTATCAATACTGGATTTTTAAAAAAGTTTAATTGCTCTGATAGTGGGATTTTTTCCCCTTTTATTTCAGCTTGATCAATGGAGCACAGTTTTTACATTTTCCAGTCCAGCACAGAAAGGGATTAAAAACAGGTTGTTGGAATTCAGAGAAATGTTCTGACCTTTTGCTTCTATTTCTTTCTGGAGCTTTTAACTTGAGATACAGAGTAAACTTTATACTAAATATTTGTTTTCTGTTCCCTCTAAAGCATGGAAATATAAGAATGATTAAAAATAAGCTGGAAGCTTGTTATTTATTTTTGCAGCACGGTTCAGAAAACTTGAATATTCAGTGACAATGCTGTTACAGCGCTGAAACCTTGTTGTAATCTGTTAGGTCTATTTAATGGTTAGCCCAACGATCATAATTCTCAACAGTGAACTTTGAGCAGGTTGTTCTTAAACGGCTGCAGCAAGAATAAGGACTCTGCCAATTACTTCATCCACAAGTAAACAGATCAAATATGTTGCGTGAAAATGAAAGCTTTAGAAGTAAATGACTAATATACATTAACTGGCTCCCATTGTAGATGTTTCTCTAATATTTGCCATTTTTACGGTCAGCTTAATCCCTTCTCAAACTTTGTATACAAAAAGCATCCATAGAAATGCAGTCACAGTAAGAAAGTAGTTGAGCACAGCTGTGGAGGAAAGATGGCTAAGACGCAGAAATATGTCCCCGCTCTGACGAAAAATGTCCTAGGAGACCTTAAAAAAATAACCTACTGTTCCATGTAGCGCTCTGCCAGTAAAAACACTTTTCTGTGTACCAGATCAATGTGCAAATGAGCTTGGACATCTCAGGGCTGATCTGCTCATGATGTTCCTATTTTCTTGTGTCTTACCTAAATTAAGTCTTTGCCACCTGGAAAAGGTGGCTCTTAGGACCTGCCTACTTCAAGGAGATGTTAAGAGACGCATTACGCCCACAAAACCCTCAACACTTGAGAGCGCAGGTACTTGTTGAAGGGAAAGCCTAGAGGTGAACTGCTGAAGGTCACGCACTGGGTTTCTTCTACGTCGCTCCACGCTTCTGGTGGGCCAACGCTTTGTCTTGGGGCGGTTTCTCATCAAGCACAGGCGACTGCTGAGGATCATTACTGTGAGAGCACTTGTAAATATTACTACTTTGCAGGTGCACATCGAATAAACGCATGTTTTCCAGGCAGCGGAAGACGGTGGAGAGCTTTGAGGTGGTTTCCCGTTTGCGGAGGAGCTCATTCAAGCGCTCTTGGACAGGCCCCGGCGCAGCTCCAGCTCTCGTCGAGGCGGGACTTGCGCCCACGGACCCGAACGGTCACTCCGGGCTCAGGCTGGAGCCGCACCCCAACGGCCCTCTCTTGGGGGGG